TCCCGAAATCCCAAAACCGAAAATACCGGGATCTCGTCTGTTTTTCAATACCGAAAATACCGGGATCACAAATCATGATCCCGGTATTTTTAGTATTTAAATTTATGTTGAACACTTCCCTAAGTGCCAACTTATATGAAGCCCTAAAGGTAAGGATTGCTCAGCGCAGAACTTATTGCTCAGGTATTATCCGCTATTTGCACAATCCCAATTATAAAGAATCAGATGCTCTGTTCGATATTCTATACAAAAAAAATATTAGGGAAATGCTTGAAAAACTTACAGGGTTTACAAAAAAACCAAATGTTTCTTTTTAAGAAGACAATGACGAGGATAAAATTTATCTTTCAGCCATGCTACTACTCCAGCCTCAAATTAAAACAAACAATTTTTTAAATCATTGACAAAAAACGCAATAAACCCAATAAAAATGCACCCTCAAACCGATTCGGTAACATCAACTCTAAAAAAAGAAATGTCGCTTTTTGAAAATGGCGGAAGCAGGGATGCATTCCTCAAACTGAAATGTGATTTCTTAATGTCCCCACTAGTGTGGAGTCGGAAAGGGCGTTTTCGGCAGCAGAAACTCTATGTACAAAATTTAGATCCCGAATTCGGGAATACCCTTAATGAACTCATTTTTCTGCGGTATTGGTTTAGCCGCTGAACACCTAGAAATATTTTTTTCTTACTACCTCGGCCGAAAATACGTTGTTTCGTCCCCGATTCCACGGCAGAAAGTTTACGTTTGATGCATTGGAATCGGGGACGAAACAACGTATTTTCGAGTATATTACACTACAAGGGCTACGATGAATCTCACACTTTCTGCCCTTGTAGTGTAATATACTATTGGTTTAAATTTTCTTTTATTAATAAAATTAATAACTATGCTTTGTATTCTTTTAGTTTTTAATATCAATCTCGAAATCCCGGTATTCCCGGTATTGTTAAATATCGATATCATAATACCGGGATTATATTTTCTCTTCGAGATTGCGAACCCTACACTCAACAGACAAACTTTTTGGAAGAACCTGTCAGTTTCAAGCCGTCCTGTCGAAGAAAAATTATAAATAAAACAAACCCACTGTTATTTTTATTTAAATGTTTCATTTAAATTTTTCTTTTCTTTGAATAATTTTTTTTAAGTTTTTTTTTCATTTTTAATTTTTAAATTTCATAACACGTGTGTTTATCTGCCTATAAAATAATACTCGTTTTATATCCCTAAAAATCTACTTAAATGCAACATACAAAATGACGGAAATGTTGCGTTTATTTGCTAACAATGTTAAGCAAAAAAGTCCTATCTCTCAAAACTTACTTTTACAATTATTTTTTTCAAAATTTATTCCAAAATTAAGTTATACTGAGTCAAGCCATGTCAAGTGGGACCAAAATTTTTTCAAATTCACAGATTTTGAAAATAATCACATTATTGTGTAGTAGGCATGACGCATATGTCACAGTAAGAAATGTTTTGAAATTCGGTTTTTTATTAATGTTATTAAAGTTAATAATTTTGTAATACTTTAGAGCACGGTAAAATTGAAAAAATAGAATCTCTGGGACCACTCTGTATAATTGAATTAAATTTTACACACTATTGTAGCAATGTTTAGACCAGAGGCAGCTGGTGGATTTGGGCACACCCATATCTCAGTTATTAGACATGGGACCCACATCAAATTTATATGAGTTTATAATGACATTATATAGACAAGTTCTGCGCAAGCAGAATTTAAATTAAAGTTTGCGAAAAAAAGTTAGTTTTTAAGTGCAACCCCCAGCCTCCTGCCCCTCCAAATTAAGATAATTCAAATTAAAGTGGTACAATATTTAATTCACTGAAGTTTATCGACAAATTTCAAATTTTATTAAAAACATTCAAGAATTACAGGTTTTATACCATTTATAATTTTTATTATTTCTTTTACTAAATTTAAATAAATTTGAAATGGTATAAAATCTGTAATACTTGAATTTTTTTAATAAAATTTGAAATTTGTCGATAAACTTCAGTGAATTAAATATTGTAAACTTTAGACTATAGAATGATCATTTAATTAAGGTAAATTTGTTTAAATAGAAGTATTTTGCGTACATTTATTATAAATAATTGAAATTTTGTATGTGTTCTTCACGCTGAAAAAAAAATAATATGCGGCAAACGTTTCCGTTTAATAAGATGTACTCAAAAATTTGTCTTTCATATATCATTCCGGAGATATTTTTTGGTCCCGCTGTGCACTTAATCAGTACGCGGCGCGCTTCGTTGCTAGCTCGTCCGTTCTAACGTTTTGGTGACTTAAAAATGATATTTACCAAAGTCCTAGAAAATTCAAGATTTTTTTTTTAATTTTTGTTTATCTTCAAAGTCTACCTTTGTACACCGATTTTTATAAAATTGGAATATATTATTTAGGAGAATACTTTTTAATACTGTATTATATATACAGGAATAACATAAAAATACATACATTATTTGATATATACAGGGTTAGCCCAAAATCACTTATTTCTAATAAAGCAAAAGCGTAAATTCATGATTTTAGCATAACACGCAAAAAATATTTATCCCCAATTTTTTTTTAGATATTTCTACGTCTATCAGGTTACAAAATGGCATTATTATTAACCTTTTTCAAGAAAAATAGATTTTTAATAAAATTTAATAAAATAACGCTTAGAGAATATTTAAAATGTTGTTTAATTTAGGCTTTTTAGTAGTTTTCAATTTTGAATGAAAAATTGGTTAAAGTTTTTTGATCGGCACTCTTTGGTGATTTAAAAAAGATATTTACCGAAATTCTAACTGCTTTTTCTGAAATTTGTAAAAAATTCAATTTTTTTTAATTACTTGTTTATCACAAAGTCTACCTTTGCCAGAGTACACATTTGTACACCGATATTTTAAACGAGAAGATTAGATTTATACAGGGTTAGACAAAAATCACTTTTGTATATGAGTAATTCTTTTATAAACCGAACACCTTTTGACCGACACATCTCAGATTTGGCTGAAACTTTTTTTACGGATTCTATGTCGAAAAATAAGAGATACGTGTCCGAGGAATTTTTTTTCTCTCGCATATTTTCGATAATACAAGCTATCGAAAATTTGAGAATAACGAGTTTTTTGGCTTGGAGACTCATTTTCAAAAATTTATAACTCTGGTTCTATTTGAGCTACAAACTTCTTCTTTTTTTCATTTTAAAGCTAAAGGACTGAATTTTTATAAAAAAATATTTTTAATAAATATTATTAACAAATTCATATTGTTATTTACAATTTCATTGTTTAAATCAATTTTTAACAATGGCCCCCACCTCGTATTAAGTTTTTAGTATTTTTATCGTATTCTCCGTCAAATTTTACATAAAAAACATGTTTTCAAAATATGGTACCTTTATTATTACTATTGTTAAAACATTAATTTGTATTGCGCGACACATAAAAAAACGGTTTTTTGTTAATAAAAAGAAAACTATAGCTCGGATCAAAAAAAGTCATATATAAAAGTTGTAGATAATAAAAAGATATACAATTTTTATTTTAACTATTTTTTGACATAACCTCACTTTACAAATAAATTGAAAAATTAAAAATATTTTTTTATAAAAATTCAGTCCTTTAGCTTTAAAATGAAAAAAAGAAGAAGTTTGTAGCTCAAATAGAACCAGAGTTATAAATTTTTGAAAATGAGTCTCCAAGCCAAAAAACTCGTTATTCTCAAATTTTCGATAGCTTGTATTATCGAAAATATGCGAGAGAAAAAAAATTCCTCGGACACGTATCTCTTATTTTTCGACATAGAATCCGTAAAAAAAGTTTCAGCCAAATCTGAGATGTGTCGGTCAAAAAGTGTTCGGTTTGTAAAAGAATTACCCATATAGTAAAAAGCATAATGCATAAAAGATTTTTTTAAAAATTTCGAAAAGAGTAGCAGCTAGGATTTTGGTAAATATCATTTTTAACTTACCAAAGGTCCAGAACTAGAAACTGCAATCAGTTTTTGGCGGCATTTTTATGTGACTTAAACCTTGTTCAGGCACCCCCTGTGCTGACGAGCTAGCAGCGAAGCGCGCCGCGTACTGATCAAGCGCACAGCGGGACAAAAAAATTAATATCTCCGGAATGACATATGAAGGGCAAATTTATGAGTACATTTTATTAAACGGAAAAGTTTGTCGCATATTATGACACAAGATTAATTTTTTTTCAGCGTGAAGAACACATACAAAATTTCAATTGTTTATAATAAATGTATGCAAAATTCTTTTATTTAAACAAATTAACCTTAATTAAATGATCATTATATAGTCTAAACATTTCTACAATAGCGTGTAAAATTTAATTCATTGCCCGGTCAATGACATAAAGTAATTATAAAAATATGTAACAAATGTAAATATTTAACTAAACCAACCTGACACCCCCAAACACAAACACTTCAACAAAGTATTCTGCCGTGCTTAATGAAAACGCCGTAACCAACAATTTTGAGATTTTTGTTTTACGGCATTTTTTACTAGAACAATTCATCCTGCGTCTATCCCCGGTACTCAAAAAACCGTATCTATATATATACGGTTTTTTGAGTACCGGGGATAGACGCAGGATGAATTGTTCTAGTAGAAAATGCCGTAAAACAAAAATCTCAAAATTGTTGGTTACGGCGTTTTCATTAAGCACGGCAGTATTAGTAAAAAAAATATGCAAAAAAAGGAAAAAAGGAAATTCCGAGGGAAATTCACATTATTGACGGGTCATTATTGTAAATGTCCAATATTGTCTTTATCTGTAACATATACATCAAAAACGATATACTTCAATTAGTTACCTCCTACCCTATATTTGAGGAGTGATTTTTCAAAAGGTCATATTTCCATTTGCAGTACAGTGCAAATAGCACCTGGACTAATAGTGTTGAATACAATTTGTCTAAACAGCCGGACTAATATACACTTCCTTAATATTAAGTTTAAAAACTTACATGACTGCTTGTTTGAAAAAGTCATAAGCACTAGCCTTTTGCTTTTTATACTTTTCTTCAAAGTACCAGGCAGTTTTTTGATAAAGTTCCTCTAATTGTTCATCATTTTCATACTTAAGCAATTCAGCTACATGTCTTAAAATAGAATTAACAGCCTTGGCTTTGGCAAACCTCTCTGTGCACTTTTCAACGTCTTCAGCACTTACACGTCTTTTGGATAAATCTATGTAACCCTTTTCCTTATCCACCCTTATAACAACAACAGGTTCAGTTTTTCCAACTCTGATCAACTTGTTTATGGAACGAATACGTCTTCTGGACAATTCAGAAAGTAATATCATGCCCTCAATATTGTTATATTCTAACAAGTGCACATAGGCACCCATTTCAGCAATCGCTCTTACATTAACCATTACTACATCCTCTACTTCAGGATACTTTTCCTTATAAAATCGACACGAAAGCGGCATCTTTTCCTGAAATATGTTAGCCGATTTTAAGGTTATACTGGAAATAAATGTTATTTTCTTGTTTTATTAAAATTAAATTTTAATACACAGATATCATTATTTTGGCACTATTTCTACGTTTACCTCTTTTTGGTGATTAAAATCTTTTAATATCTTTTAATTTAGGAAATGATGAAATTTCACGTGTGACAAATTGAGGATAGCCTGGTTTGTTCTGTGATAGCCTGTCAACTGTGCAGTGTTACCAACAAAGAACACCAAAGAAGCAAAAGTTCCTGGTTAAAAGTTGGCAACACAATAATCGCCCGAAAGTCTGACAAGCGCTTGACACAGGTCAGGGGGGGTATAAGGGGAATTTGACAATAGGCAACAGTAAAATAAATCAAGCAGGCTTGGAAAACCGATATGTTATGTGCCACAGGTCACAAGGCTACCAACTTACACAACATAATGTTACGTACGAGCTTCATGCAGAGATACCTCCATATCTCTGGCTTCATGTCTATTGTTTTAGATAAAAATGCATAGATGGCGCTGATTATTTTTTCTTTCTTTCTTTAGGCGGGAATTTTAAATGTAATGTACAGGTATAATGCATTTAATATAAGAATAAATAAAACTAGAAAGTTTTTATAAATAAAATTTAATAAGTAAACTAATATTAAACAGTATAACATAAATTTTACAATATAAAATTAGTATTAAACAATATAAAACTAGTATTAAACGATATATAACAAATTTTAAAAAATATAAAATTAATATAAAACAGATTTTACAACAAAACATTAATATTAAACAGTATAAGATAAATTTTACAATATTAAACAATATTCAACTAGTATTAAACAATATAAAACAGATTTTACAATGTTAAACAATATAAAACTAATATTAAACAATTTTTACAATATTAAGCCTTATATGATTTTTGAAATAACTAATGAAATGATATGAAATAAGCTAAAATTTTAAATTTATTTAATATTAATTTATATTGTTTAGAGAAAAACATTTTTTATAGAAAAATACTAATTATTTATTATATAGACCCCAGATAAAACATTTACCTATGATTGACATTATTTTGACAAACTAATAAGAATTACAAGTCAAAATAAAAAATTTCTCACCAGATCCTGAAAGTTCCTCGGACTGCTTGTGGCTCCTATTTTGAAGATGAAATCCTTAAGCTCTTGATTTCCTTTTTGGATTCCTGTTGCTTGTTTGCCTAAAAGTTTATTAAAAAAGTTAGATATAATAATATAAAAATCATTTAATTGTACCTAGCAATTTTAAGAATTGACCATATGCAAGGAATGCGGTCGATGTTGCCAATGGTAAAAAAATAAAATTCCCTATTGGAAACATTCAATTATATTACGTTGGCTACATTGAAAATTTGAATTTCCCGCACAAACTAAATAAATTTCCATCTTTTTTTTTAATAATAATAAATAATAATAATTTCCACATTGAAATTCGCACCTTAATTTATTATACAACATTGGAACTACCTTCTTTATCTCTGGGAACTACTAGAATGTATGTCAGTTTGTGCGGGAAATTCAAAATTTCAGTGTAGCCAACGTAATATAATTGAATGTTCCCAATAGGGAATTTTATTTTTTTACCATAGGCAACATCGACCGCATTCCTTGCATATGGTCAATAATTGTAAAGTAACCCATCGACGACCAATTATTGGTCGTCGATGGGTTACTTTTGTAATGTTAATGTATCCTGTGTTAAAGCTACCACATACTTCCACACATGTGTGGAAGTATGTGAAAGCTACAGAGCGGTAATCAATCTGCGCCACGGTACCGGGTTCGATTTCCGGTCACAGCCTTGGGTGTTGTGGTTGTTTTTAAGAGCAAAAAAATATATAATAATGAGCTGGCTAAATAGTCGAAAAGACTAAAAGCCAATAAACCTTAAAAAAAATTCAGGAAATTACAGAACAACATTTATCGGTTGCACCGTGAAACTTGCGCGCTTCTCTGGTTTAATATCACAAACATTTAATAGAGGGCGCAGGAAATACATGTATTTTGTCTTGCCTACCTATGAGGCGCAGTGTGTATAGGTAGGCAAGAAATTACATTTTTCACCAAAGGTAGACAAAAATTTACCAAATTAGCATTAAATTAAAAGAAAACAATTCCGTCTAAAAAATAATGGTACATAATGATACAAAATCGTAAAAAATGGTACATAAATTGACGATGGTACGAAACAGTGTTGAAAAACTTGCCAACTTTTGCAATACAAAAAAGCTTTTAAAGCCTGATTTATAGATTACCTTCCTTCCTTCCTTCCTCCCGTCCCGTCTTTTACAAGAGGAAGGGAGGAAGGAATAAAGACAATCTATAAATCACGCTTTAGCCCCAAACGGGAATCTTTAAACAGCACAACATTTTTTGTATTGTTTATCTTCTACGGGAGGAAGGAAGGAAGGAAGGAAGGAAGGAAGGAAAGAAGGCAAACTATAAATTAGGCTTTACAGCTCTAAAGATATCGAAAGCACTATCGATAAATATTAGTAATTTATCTGGTTAATACGGATTTTTTCCACGACCAAGAGGGCAGTAGGTTTAACCGTAAATCCGCTCAACTTGTAGAAGAAGTAAAATGCAGCCATTTTTTAGATCGCTAACAACAACCATTAACATCACCATCACCATTACCATCATTGTAAACGGATACACACATTTTTCTATATTAACATTAAAGCTGGATTTATAGTTTTAAAGGTAACGGTAGAGGCAGCGGTAAAGGTAGAGGTAAAGCCGGATTTATAGTTTTAAAGGTAACGGTAGAGGCAGCGGTAAAGGTAGAGGTAAAGGTAGCGGTAGCGGTAGCCGAGTTCGGCATTGGATATTGTACGAAACTATTTATAGTTGTCAGAGGTAGCGGTAAGAGAGGTAGAGGCAAGAAGGTAGCGGCAAGAGATGACCATCTTTCAATTTTTCTTACCTCAACCGCTACTCCAGCCAATCACACGGCAGTTTTCAGTTGGCAGCCTCGCCTTGAAAGTTTAGTTTTTATGCGAGGGGCAACCAGACTTGATAATTTGTCAAAAATGGGCACCGTCATTTGTGTATTTAAAGAACTACTCTTTATCGGTTAATTTTATTTTATTTTAATACTGGAAATGGCGTTTCTTATGTCGTTCCCGATTTAATTCCCTCGTTTTATAGCGACGTACTTGACGACCCCCATAACGAACTTGAAACCCTGCAATACAACATAATATATTGTATAATATATTGTATATATAATATATTGTGTTGCAGGGTTTATTATATAATATTTCGCACAACGCCATATGGCCCAGATGCACAGCTGTGCTAGCAATGCCCTCGCAATCCATGTTTTCGTAGAAAACTTAACCTTTTGCTGTCAAATTTTACAAACAAAATTACAATCTGCATTAAAGTACGCATGCGCCACCAGTACCGCTACCGCTACTTTCTGAACTATAAATTCCAGAAAGTGATACCGCTACCGCTACCTTTACCTCTACCTTTACCGCTGCCTCTACCGTTACCTTTAAAACTATAAATCCAGCTTATAGTTCAGAAAGTAGCGGTAGCGGTACTGGTGGCGCATGCGTACTTTAATGCAGATTGTAATTTTGTTTGTAAAATTTGACAGCAAAAGGTTAAAGCCGGATTTATAGTTTTAAAGGTAACGGTAGAGGCAGCGGTAAAGGTAGAGGTAAAGGTAGCGGTAGCGGTATCACTTTTTGCAATTTATAGTTCCGAAAGTAGCGGTAGCGGTACTGACGACGCATGCGTACTTTAATGCAGATTGTAATTTTGTTTCTAAAATTTAATAGCAAAAGGTTGTTTTCTATGAAAACATGAATTGCGAGAACAATGCTGTGCTTCTGGGCCATATGGCGTTGTGCGAAATATTATATAATAAACCCTGCAACACAATATATTATATATACAATATATACAAGATATTTTGTTGTATTGCAGGGTTTCAAGTACGTTATGGGGGTCGTCAAGTACGTCGCTATAAAATGAGGGAATTAAATCGGGAACGAGCTAAGAAACGCCATTTCCAGTATTAAAATAAAATAAAATTGACCGATAAAGATTAGTTCTTTAAATACACAAATGACGGTGCCCAGTTTTGACAAATTATCAAGTCTGGTTGCCCCTAGCATAAAAACTAAACTTACAAGGCGAGGCTGCCAACTGAAAACTGCTGTGTGATTGGCTGGAGTAGCGGTTGAGGTAAGAAAAGTTGAAAGATGGTCATATCTTGCCGCTACCTTCTTGCCTCTACCTCTCTTACCGCTACCTCTGACAACTATAAATTGTTTCGTACAATATTCAATGCCGAACTCGGCTACCGCTACCGCTACCTTTACCTCTACCTTTACCGCTGCCTCTACCGTTACCTTTAAAACTATAAATCCGGCTTTAAGCCGGATTTATAGTTTTAAAGGTAACGGTAGAGGCAGCGGTAAAGGTAGAGGTAAAGGTAGCGGTAGCGGTATCACTTTCTGCAATTTATAGTTCAGAAAGTAGCGGTAGCAGTACTGGTGGCGCATGCGTACTTTAATGCAGATTGTAATTTTGCTTGTAAAATTTGACAGCAAAAGGTTAAGTTTTCTACGAAAACATGGATTGCGAGGACAATGCTAGCACAGCTGTGCTTCTGGGCCATATGGCGTTGTGCGAAATATTATATAATAAGCCCTGCAAAACAATATATTATGTTGTATTGCAGGGTTTAAAGTACGTTATGGGGGTCGTCAAGTACGTCGCTATAAAATGAGGGAATTAAATCGGGAACGAGCTAAGAAACGCCATTTCCAGTATTAAAATAAAATAAAACTGACCGATAAAGAGTAGTTCTTTAAATACACAAATGACGGTGCCCATTTTTGACAAATTATCAAGTCTGGTTGCCCCTCGCATAAAAACTAAACTTACAAGGCGAAACTGCTAACTAAAAACTGCCGTGTGAAATATTATATAATAAACCCTGCAAAACAATATATTATGTTGTATTGCAGGGTTTAAAGTACGTTATGGGGGTCGTCAAGTACGTCGCTATAAAATGAGGGAATTAAATCGGGAGCGAGCTAAGAAACGCCATTTCCAGTATTAAAATAAAATAAAACTGACCGATAAAGAATAGTTCTTTAAATACACAAATGACGGTGCCCATTTTTGACAAATTATCAAGTCTGGTTGCCCCTCGCATAAA